TGACCCCATTTTACAGATGGGGAAAGAAGAGGTTCCACAGCCTGCCCAAGGTTGGGTAACGGATTGCTGACTCACCTGGGTTCTTGAACCTGTTTGCCTGGCTTGCAAAGCCTGTACTCTTTTTTTTTTTAATTATTTTTTAATTTTTGGTGCCAAAGCCAGGAACAAACCAGAAGCCTGTGTTCTTTTCTCAAAGCTGCACGGCTGCCCTCTGCCATGTGGACTGGCTCATGAATTGGTGCCTTGTTTTCTGCCAGTGATAAAAACTTCTCTCTAGTGCTAGGAATGCTTTTTTTTTCTTTTTTTCTTTTCTGTTCTTTTTTTTTCCCTACCACAGTCTGTCTGGCCAGTGATTGCCCAAAGAAAATATTTGGAAACCACTTTTATTCTCTGGGGTGCCCTCTGGGCTGGTCATTTGCAGATGGCATTTGCCCCTACAAGTGCTTGTCTGTGAACTGGGACATTTTTGTCCACTGAGATGTATGGATGTCTAGATTAGCAAGAAGCAATGGGGTCAGCTGTCCAGATTTTCTGGAAGGAGCAGGAGAGCTCCCCTATTGAAAGCCTGACTTCTGTTGCAGAATACGTCGTGCATTTAATTAACCATAATGTTGAAGCTCTTCTGTTCTTGTTTTCCTTCGAGGTGACGTCCCGAACTTCTGACTCAGATGCTCCCTCCGGTGCCACTGAGGTGTCTGTGAAGCTCTTTGACTCTGACCCCATCACCGTGTCGGTCCCGGAGGAAGTCTCTAGGAACAACCCTCAATTTATAGAGACGGTGGCAGAGAAGGCACTGCAGGAATACCGCAAAAAGAACCGGTGAGCAGGCCTTTCCCGCGGGCCGGTGGGGCCCGGACTCTCTCTGGGCTCCGAGAAAAGGGGCAGAGGACGTAGCCTGGTGGCAATGGCTGCTCCTGGCTCCAGAGCCCAAGGCCAAAGCCAGGAAATCACTGGGAATTTTATTTATCCTTTGAGAGTGTTCTTCCGTGGAGGATAAGAATTTGAGCGTTGGTCGCTGCTCTCACCGAATGTTAAGCCCTCCCCTTCCCTACTTCTTTTTTATTTCAGAGAGGAGTGAGGTGTGAACGCTGCTTTTCTACGTACAGGGCTGAGTCCAGCTCGCCCTGAGATGAGCCAGCCCCCTCCCCCAGAGAGAGCACTGCGTGTCCCCACGTGACTAGGCCCGCCCAGCCCCGTCCGCCCTGGATCCCGCACTCTAACGCCTGCGCCAGCTGCCGGGGGGAGAGCTGCTCCCGCATGCGACTAATAAATCTAATAAATCTGCCTTGTGATCCGAGCGCTCTGAGCCTCCTCTTTTCGTGCGGGGCTTCTGCCTCCTGCATGCCTTCGTTTTGGTGTGGGAGGCAAAAAATCGATCCAATTCAGGAATGGCTTGCTTTCAGGAAGAGAGGTGCATTCCAACAAGCCAGCTAAAATACCTTCCTGAAAAATGAGTTTTCCGTTCCATTATCAAACTGTCAGAGTATGCTGAGCGGGGCGAGGGCGATCTGAAGGAACACACTGAAATTTAAGGCGAAGGACGGGTGATGGTAAGGCACGCTGAGTATTTTAATGCGTAATTAATATTTTCCTTATGGAAACCATAGTCCCCGAGACCAAATGAGGCAGTTTTCTGTTTAGTTGTAAGAGCCCAGAATTCCTGGGGCACTTTCTCGACGGTGGCTTCGTCTGTCCACTGCCGGGTCATGCAATCTTCACTTCTTGGCCTGGACCACAGGAGTTTCTCTGCTTAGGGGCTCAGTTTGGAAATATAGCTGGGCTGCAGTACCCGGTGCTGCCAGCAGGTGGCCCTGACCACCCGCGGTACAAATTTCAACCTTAGCTCAACAAACCTCTCATTCATAAATAGGCTCTAATTATAGAATTCTGTTCGTCAAATAGACTGCAAATAGGAAAAAAAGTCATCTGGCTGCATCCAGGTTCTTAGCAAAGTCCATGTGTAAATCATAGCTTAGAATGTTCTTAGGTCACTGTCCCTTGTCTTTTAGGTTATAAGCACCTCAGCTACGCAAAACCACAAACTTGTGAGGCCTAGCTTGTGTTCAAAGTAAGTATTTTAGTACTGCTGTCAAGGAAATTCAGAATCAAGCTAGTATCAGTCACTTAATGGTACACATTAACTAGGATTATGGGGTCAGAGGGATTTATTTAAATGGCCATAATTGCAAAGTACATGTCACATTAGCGTCATATGGCATGTTTCAAAAATTACTTTCTCTTTTCTGTTATGTTGCTAGATTCTGGCAGTCACTATATCCACTATTTAAAGAAAATTTTTTTTATGCACTTTTTTCCATAAACTCGCATACATTAGCACCCTAAAAGGCAGATCTGAAAGCTGCCTCTGAGGCTCCCTGGGACCCCTTCTCTGCATCCTCTTTCTTTTTTTTTTTTTTTTT